ATGTGAGTGTATTAGTAAGGTTTCCCTGGCAACTTCAAATGGATTTCGACAGACTTCGCGAAGACAAGCGTAGACGGTTAGAATATGTCTTAGTACTTCACGAGTCATTCACTCGTGGTTAACTGTGTTATTAGCTGTTCATTGTATAAATGGCTCGTTTCTAGTGAGGTCAAGCTTAAGTGTCCTTGTACCTTTATGTTTTCGGTTTTTTTTTCTTTTTTTTTTTTTAACTATTTACGTACAAAGATACGCCAATCTATTAAAGGAATACATTTAACGGCAAAAACAACGAAACTTGCGGTGCGTGTTAGGCCTGAGCGTTGGAGCTTGCTGCTGAGAATACAGCCATCGATCTGGTGCTGTTCTTAACATTCCATATGAGTCCACTTTCGCCTATTCATAGTATACCCATATTCCATTCGCTATATCTAACAACCAAACTAATGTTAGGCCATATCAGATATTTAAAAAAGCTCGCGGAGGCCATGCTTCTTTAACAGAGCCATTTTCAATTCTGCTACGCTCGAAATGCTACCGAGTTGCGAAATAAGCAGCTGTTTCTCGATAAACTTTCACTCATTTGGTGGTATCCGTTGTCGTTCCATACTATGCAGCGAGTGTTGGCAAGCTGACCAAAAACAGGTCATTGTGCCATACAGACCATATGACGAATGTGTTACACTGCATTTCACTGTAACGAAGAATCGAAATGGGGTTCTTCTGTCGCCCCACTAAGCGTAGGGACAACGAGGACGGGCGACAGGTGAGTCTTGTGAGTTGGACATCTATTTTCGTAGGATTTGATAAACACAAAAATATCTAACCGCTGACCTTAAGAGAACCTAAATGCTGATACAATTACACATATATACGCTCCTGGCACATCCGCTTCGGCGTTAGTTAGGTCTAGGTTAGCTAAATAATATGGACATGAGATATGTGAGAAAACCTGATGTGCGGCTTAGTTTTTTTTTTTCAATGTACCTCCTTATGTTTGTCTTTTATAAAGAGACAAACATAAGGAGGTACATTCAACCTGTACCTGTAAATATATGGCGATGCATGTAGTGGACAATTTTATTATCGCTGTTTTTTTTTCATTTAATTCAATAGCTGGGTTTCCCTCTTTCTTCTAGACTGATCAACTTTATAGCGACCTAAATAGTTGTCTTAAGAATTGGTGCCTTTATTCTACCAACGATGTCTCATGGAAGCTTCCTATCTCGTTGATTTAGTTTTGTCGTCTATTTCTGAGTACGACCAATTGAGAAATTGCTTTTTAGCCATCTCCTTTCGACACTATTCGTACAAATGAGCTAACCAGAAAACACTAAGTCAACTTATTTCTAAAATTTCATACAAGATACAAATTATAATTCAATAATTCATTAAACTTCTCAATTCAGCCAGGGAACGGGTTGGCCCCCGGGGGCAGGTGAATGTATTCCTCCGAGGCCGTTTTCCGTAGGTAATGCAATTGATGGAGCTCGCTTACTGCGACAAAGAACCATTTCTTGTTAAGTTCGTATCATTGCGCCTTATTACTCGAAAGCTGACTAAACTTTTTGCTTTTTTTTTTTAATCTTTTATGTAGTGATGCTTAACTTACATTTGAAGATTTAGTATGACAGCGTCATTGCCAGGACGGAACTCGCAGGTAACACTGAAATATTAGTTAATACAGGCATCCCGCTATTTTAACGTTGCATTTTTCACTGTTTTTTCGGCTCATTTGCGACCATAGCTTATCCATTAGTACTTATCTAATACAATTCAATTGCTTTCTCTGGAAGTACGACACAAATTTATTCCATCAAAAAAAATCTAGGAAAAAAATTTAGAACAGTTTCCCCTCGCGAGCTAAACAGGTCCTAACATATCATAGAAACTGTACAATGCCTATTATTAAGTTACCAATCTATCTTAGCCCTATCTAATTGGCTATTTTAGTGAGCAATGGGATAATTATCAAAAGACATATATATATATATATATATATATATATATATATATATATATATATATATATATATATATATAGGTTTCTCAAGAAGTAGAGCTTTCTTAGCTTAAATATGCATACCTGCCACATATTGGCGACCGCTCCCATCCGTTGTGCTAGTTTTTCTCACACATATCCCACTCACTGTGACGCCCACTTTACGCATGTTTGCTCCTCCTTTGTTGTGGTTGGTGCCTGTGTGAATTTCTTTCTATTTCATTACTTGTATCAGACTTCGTTAAGACGAATCTGACTGAGCCGATCGGGTTATGGCTCGTTCTTCCAAGTTCTCCCACAAACTTTTCTCTCAAAGATTCCTTTTTTCAGTGTCCCTTGACGAAAGCTTTCTTTCATTCAGACGGGGTTCAAATGAATTCATTAGTGGTCCTCAGTGCATTCTTCCTCAATCACATTAGCCTTCCCCGTTGCCGCAACTGTCCCCACTACAAGCATGACCACTCCCTTCGAAGTTCACATACGTGCACGCATGCAGATACCCTCATCTGGCTTCCTTGCGTGGCGTCGCCTTGAGCGTTCGCTGAGGCGAAAGAACCCTTCAGAGTGCATTTCCGGCTCCTACCGGAAGTGTTCGGACTCCTTGCGAAGCTTGAATGGGCGCGACCAGGCGGGTAGCTGATTACGAATGCATAGGACCAGGCCAATGAAACACGCGGTGACCTGTCCTGCCATGAACATGTGAAAATTGTATTCGGAGCACAAGTATACGCAACAAAAACTATAGCTATAATTATTAGAGAAAGTAAGATAATTCAAGGTGACCTGCCTTTAATGGTGTTGGACGGAGAATTTCCAGAAAGAGGGTTCGCAATATAATTTAAGTTTATCTACCTGCTCACCTCGAAGATGTGTATGACTATGGGCTAGCTAGAGATATTTTTTGCCGCTTAGATAGGTGCGATATGAAGTGCAAAAAATTCGTCTTGAAGCTGCAATTATCTGAGCAATAGAAATCACCTGACTTACACAATCCACTCAAAAAAGCTGACTGCTAAAAGAAGTCGTGTAGATGGTAAATCATTTCCGGTAACTTAATCCAACCATTCTTGCTGAGTATATTTAGGGCTTATTCTACAAATGTTATGTATCGAAGGTATTTGGTGTATCTCTTATTTTGTTTTTCTTCAACTCACCAATAGTTCTAGCAACTCACATAGTTGCATAACCAGATCTCTGTTTCAAGGTATCAAATGTTTTAATCAGTTGAGACGCTTTAGAGTTCTTCAAGGGGCATCTGTCTCTCTGTTGCTTGGATTAAACGAACGATGATAAGTGCGAATCAATTTCGAATTTTTGGAACTATTTGATTATTTCGGTGTCCTCTAGTATCACACAATGATGTAAGTCCGAATCGGACATATAGATAGAAATTGCGACGATCCTCTTTCCTTGGCATGAAATTTGTTCTCATTTCGTCGATCACGGCGTTTGCTGTTGTCGCTGTATGTCTACTACCGGTAGGATTTAGTTCCGGTCTATTTTTAATAGAAGGCCGGCTTGCTTTCGGGTTGTCGAAGCACATATTGGCTCTGGTTTGTTTTAAGGCTTTTTATTTTTTATTTATTTATTTATTTATTTTATTTATATATATATATATTATTTATTTAGTTTATTAGTTCTCGAGTAACGACATCGTTGACGTTGTTGTTCTACGCATGCATCCGTACCGAAGTCTGTTATGACCAACGTCGGATAAAGACAGCGTTGACTCACAATTAAATAGACTAACATTAGTTATGTGCTTTACTATACACATATTTACATATACGTGGTTACGAATTTTTGTACGTACAAAGGGCATGTATAATATTATCTGCTGTTTTATATACATACAAATAGCTGCCTGCGTCTTCACACTTAGTGCCCGAGAACTTATTAATGCTTTGGAGACTTTTCACAAGTTATAGCCATGGCCATACACGATTGACACAAGGATGGTTCTGCAGCAAATCGTTCTGCGGTGGAAGTCATTCAGATACACACGATCGGAGCAATAGAGTTTCGAGGTGTAAAATTTGAAAGAAGAATTCGAGTACACCGATAGTTTTTGAGCGGATAGGCAAAAATCTGAATTTCAGATCCGTTAGGAATTCGAATTGAAGTATCCATACAAAACGAATGATTTAAGCGACTGGATGGAAAAGAAGTTTGAGAAAATCGAAGATTAGAATTAGAAAGAAAGAACGTGCAATAATTGTCGGAACGATTAGCGCTAGTAGCCGGATTCACCGGCGTAGACGAGATAGTGCTGCTTTCGTATTCAGAGCTTACAATTAATTATTCGTTAACAATTCTGTAAGGAGAAACAATGACACAGATGGGGTTGCTTAGAAAAACATGTGCTTCTGTTTTCATTTACGAACAAATAATAGCCGGCTCGTACCGACCGCTCTAGGAACATAAGCAAGCGAGCACGAAATCAGCAGGCCATCTACAGCACCGTCTATGCATGATCGAAGTAAATGCGGCCATAGCTTTGGCAAACCACGCCCTGCGTTGTATTGCAAGTTAGGTTCTCACACGATGGAGTGCGGAGGACAAATCAATGCGTCAATATGATAAACTTCACGTAGGTCCAATGAATAAACAAATAAAGTGAAGAATGATGTAAAGTAGGCGAATGTTGAACGATAATATCCAGACTAAAAGTCCTTGATTTTAATATATGCGATTTTTCTGATATTGTTTAGTAAATGAGTTTGTTATCCTTGATGGTAGAACAAGGAATAATTTCGAATTAGATAGGCGCTTTCCATTCGTTGAATACAATTTTTTTTTGTTAATTTAACTTGGTTCATTAACAGTGACCTGTTTAGGCCTTGCTGAAGTGCGCCTTATGAAGTTTTCTACTTATCATTACTGTTAAACTAATGCATCATTGAAACGACTATATAGTAAAAAAAATCAGCGTAGAGAATATCAAAAGAAGCTTTTTAGCATCACAATAAGGTTACTTTTAGCACCAGCCAGCTGCATTGGCTTTTGTAAATAACATTACTCTAAATTCAAAATAATAGCATTTCTTTACTAATTTTTCTTTTCATCAGTCACTAACTCGTATTGCTTGACCTATTTTCACTAGTTGAAACCAGCAAAAGCCGAGAGTAAGCGAGGTAGTTGCAAGATGTCAGATAATATAGTCAATGATGATAATTGTTCTAGCAGCGTTGCCGTTATGACTAACAAGGCAAATTACCTACGGCACACCGCAGTGGAAACGTACGAATAGAAAACACTGACGTCCTCAGCGAGGATGAGGGGATACATTGTGTTTGTTTGCTTCAAGACGCTAATAGCACTGCTATAAAAATGAATGTGTAGCTGTTGTGAGCTAGTGATCTTCGTAAGCATAACTTACATAGACGTCTCTACTTTACACTTTCACCCGGACGTGTCTGGTGAATGGCCAGTGTCAAATATTCACGTTAGTTTGTTCTGTACGAACTTAAAACGTACGCTTCCAGAATTGACGGGCCGAGTTTAAGACCAACGATAGTAAGCGCAAACTTCCAACTGTGTGTGGAGATGGCTGGAAATAATTTGCTACCATAATGCAGATGGTACCGGATAGGGTTCAAGAGCAACTTAGATCATTCGTTTTTACGCGTTGTGAAAAAAACTGAGGGTAACTTCGAACCCCGTACGTCAAAATTTGTGTCTTGTGATGATCGAAATGGCTTCGATCATAGTTCGAAGGAGTTTTTATGCTAGCGCAAGTCAGGCGCGGTCGGTCGGTGTACTCGGTATACCAATGTGGCGGGGTCAGAAAAAACTAGGAACCGATCTTGCTCCAGCTAAAATTCGGGAAGATGGTCGACTCATCTCAGGTGTCGAAACGGTTGTTGGGAAGCCGGTGCGTGATTTTGGTGATCTTGATTTAAGCTCGTACAGCCAATGCGACAAAAATGTTACGCACTATATGGCCAAAACTGCGCAATCTATCAGAAAATCGGTGATACATTGCCTCAGGGAATGTGAACAATTAATCACGCTCGGAGGTGATCACAGCATAGCAATCGGTACCGTCACAGGGCACGCTGATTACGTGAAAGAGCAAGGAAGGTAAATTTCTCTTGATTTTCCGTCATATATATTTTTGATATATAGTATTCGTCAGACATCTTATCTAGAAGTTATGATAAAAATTATATGAGGAGATCATTCCAGTACTCCTAGATACCTATGGGTGAGTACAGAGGCCTTCTACTATACATTGTACTTCGTTTTGCTTTCATTTTTTTAAGGCTGTCAGTTACAAATTTACAAAAAAAAAACCAGTTAACAAAATTGTGATTTTAGCTTATGACTATAACTAATATAATAAGTGAAGAAGATGAAACAGGATGAGAACGATCGAAATTAGTTTTGTCATTGAGCAATGAGTTGTCATTTATGTTTCATAGGTATGGGGGACGGCTTAAAATTGCTATTAGACGTTTGTGTATCTTCGATGTCCAATTAGGGATTTGGCTGTCATTTGGATGGACGCTCACGCCGACATAAACACACCAATGACAACTCCAAGCGGGTCATGGCACGGTATGCCGGTGTCCTTCTTGATGCACGAAATGATGGCTCATTTACCCCGCATAGAAGATTTCAAGGACTGGCCATCGTCGATTTCTGCCCACGCACTAGTCTATGTTGGGTTACGCGACGTTGACCCCCAAGAAAGGTATAAATTAGATCAAGGCCAACATAGTCCCTTTAAACTTCGGATATAAGTTAAACGTGTAGTTAAGGAGGCTTATTCTTGTGAACTGCTTTAAAACGTTTGTATTACGCAGTATGAACTGAGTGAATAGGGTAAAAATATACAATCAAAAAAGGATGATTCTGCTGCACTTCTGGTCTCGACATTTATTTATTTATTTAGCCTTCAAACAAACTAATAGGGTAAGTATTTATTGTACCTTATGAGATTGCAGCTACAGTCAGTATACAACAGGTTTTACTGCAATGTTTCTATTTCGGTGCTCTAAACAGGCTGTGACTGGCTCCCAAATTCATTATGTGACCTTTCAGGGCCTCTCAACGACTATTTTAAAGCGTCTAAACCTGCAAATTTTTAATTGAATATCACATACAATTCCCCCACATAAACTTAAACTGGCGCCTACACTTGCAACTGTTAATGAAAGTTTTAATATTTCTCCCCCGAACACCGATTGCTCTTATTTTAGGTGGTTTTTGGAGAAGCTACAGGTCCCGAACTTCTCAATGCGCGAACTGGATGCCCTTGGCATTCACAAGGTAAACGATGCACGTACTAATGCTGGCTAAAAGCAATTTAAAACAGAGACATCATTTGAATAATGTATTTTCAAGATATTTTGTCATAAAGTTTCTAGTTTTTGGCTACAACTAAAAGTTGTATAAAGTTACAAGGTCTAGCTCCATAAACCGAATACGCGCCATCTCTCCCGGGTAATTTTAACTTCTCGATTCCTGTCAGCTTCCTAATTTTCACGGGCTATACATTATTAACATTATTAGGAAAATTAATCTAGAACAATCGCCGCATTTGATCTGATATATTTATCATTTACAACTCTGTTTCTTTACAGGTAACAGAAATAGCTTTAGATAAGGTGGACCCTCTAGGCCGCAAATCACTGCACGTCAGTTTCGACATTGACTGTCTCGATCCCTTGGTGGCCCCAAGTACTGGAACTCCGGTGCCAGGCGGTATGTCTTTAAGGGAAGTTGCTGTTCTCGCCGAGGCAATAGCGTCCACACACAGCTTGACTGTCTTCGATTTAGTAGAGGTAAACTCTCTCATTGGAAGTTACGAGGACGCTTCGAAGACAATTCAGTCCGCGGCGTTAATTACACGCTGGATGTTTGGAGATGGGCGACAAGGAAATACATCGTCAAGTGGCACTCTCGAATCCTGAATTATGCATCTCGTCATTTGTACAGATAAACGTTCTATCGATGTTTAACCACTAACTACTAGTTATTTAACCTTGCGGATAAAACTGCTACAAGGAACAGGATTCACTGTTAGCTGTATATCGCGTGTAGATCGTCTAATTACGCTGTGCGGCAAAATTTTGTCAATCTTAAACGTTAAAATGGCGGCGGCGGCAATAGGTCCATAAAACGTGTGAAAACGAAGGTCATAATAACAATCATAGCTTAGAAAAAAAGCAAAAGAAAGATAGCAAAAGAAAAAAAGATATATATTTTACAGTTTCATATTCCTGAACCTATTCGTAAAGGAACAAAGGAATCTAATGAGATAAGGGCCATACCTTTTATCTAGCTTAGCGGCTCTAGGGCGTTACAAGTGATCTAGCAGATTTTCAAATTAAATGAGTTTTAAATTAGCAAAGCTAGAATGATCTCTTACTATGCGTTAGAGATACTTTATTGTTTATATACTTGTTCTAGCGCTTTGGGCAGCTTTTGGACAGCCATATATTATTTGTGTTCATATATGTAATTTCTCTATCTTTGGTGCTTGCAAGTAAATCGATAGCGAAATACTTTTGCCCACCAGTTGCCCTTTTAATGACGTTGAAAGCTTCTATAATCACACGGATTTATATGGGAATAATAAGTGATTTGAAGCCCATACTGGAAGTTCGTTTGCTCACTGTGGAAGGTGATTGAGGCATAGCGATGAGATCTGGCGTTCTCATCAAATAATCAGCTTGTGTGCTTTCGATTGCCATGCCAACATAACGGGCTAAATTTGTTGCCCTATTTTCGGCGAGTATGTCCTAGTAGTAAATGTCTATTGTAAATAATATTATGACCTTACGTCCGAACCTGCTCGACACTGTCATCAAATTCGATTTCCTTCCAAGGCGACGCTATTCTCTCGCCTAGTTCCCCTGGTAGAGATTAAACCATGCTTCGTCTAAGGCGATCATAAAATCCAGGCGGGTTTTTTTTGTTAGTTTTAGTTCCGCAAATTGGACGTGGAATACGCAGCACGCATCTCCTGGAGTGAAGTCATCGAGAATCTGTTTTTTATTTAGTTCTCACATTTTCAATATTAAATTTATTATATGTGAAATGCCAGCTTTAGTCGAAAAAGTCTTTAGAATCGAGGCTTTGCTCTTGTCAACATTGCGGCAGTGTATTATAGCTCGTCGGGTTCCGCCATCTGGTTACCTTTCTGCTTCTCTTCATCACTTCAATCTTCGCGCTTCAAACGTTTGCACTATTCACGTACAGTGTCTTTACCAGTCTTCGACTAATTTCCGCAGCTGTCTGGCTTAGGAAAAGGAACTTGGCCACTGAACGTTAATTTTCGAGATTAAAAGATGTTTTTCGTTCTGAGTCAATTTCCTTTGGAGTAAGCTCAAACTGTTTTCATTCATAAGTTTGCAGGAATATTTACCAGCCAAATTTCGTCTGCTAGCGGCTCGTGTTATAAAAGTTACTAAATTTGAATGTTCGCGAGATTCATTTGTAACAGCCTCGTAGGTTTCCTTCATGCAAAATGACAACATCGTAGATGGCGTCCACCGTAGTTAATACTCATACTATTGTACTCAGTACTTAGAATCTACCTGACTGATGGTACGGCTTTCCCAACGCTTGAGGTCAACAAATACGTAAATTAAAAAAAATAGTGGGCCTGTAGCATGCTTGATTTGATTCGACTCTTACCTGCCTTTGAGAAGGAGTTGGCGGATATTGTAGTTACCTAGTCTAATATCTTTGCAAAATTTTTTTGACGTCTCACAGTCATTGAGTGAATAACCTAAATAAACTGAAAGCAACATAAGGAGATTTGTTTTTAATGAGTTGTCTATAGCACATGGTTTAATTAATTCCTTTTATTCTAAATGGTTGGGAGGTTTACATTTTACGAATGAGGCAATGAGATTGATGCCTGCCGAGGCCTGTAGATATGACGATTATGGCGCCTTTTTCAGGCCTAGAAAATAGATCACCTTATTTTTAATTTCTATACTAACGTTTTCCGGCTTCCAGCACTTATTGGTGGACATTGTTTGCATACAATGATTTCTCATTTGTACTTTGAGAATGTTTACCCCTGTCTTGCCCGTCCGATGCCTTTGATACCTGTTGTGTTGCTTTAGATTCGCCTGCTTAGCTAGCTTGCGCCTGACTTCGCATTTTTCTTGCCTCGTTCACCTCTCTCTAAAAATGTTTAAAGGCAAGTTGTAGGGAGCATGGCTTGTTGGAAAATACTTGACAGTTCAGGGTAACCCAAGCCAAAGCAGGCTTCTTCGTAGCTTCAAACGCAACCAAGAGAACACCCCGAAGGCAATCGTCCTGTCGTATTTTCTTGAATGCTTAACTCAAAAGGAGCTGAAAATTCTTGGCTGTGGTGAAATTGATGTCGGTTCACGTATTCATTCCCTTGTAAACCGTCTTGTGAAAGGGAAATAAGCATTAGCTGTAGCTAGGTGGACTACATTCGAAATCTATATGTACCCCATTACACTATATGGCGTGTAATAATAGTAATAGCAACCTTATTGACAACTCTGCAGTTCCAAGATCACATTCATAGATCAATAGAGGTAGCTCTTGACATAGGCAGTTGGGCATCAGAAAAAATGACGAATGAAAAAAGGTAAAACATTTGAGGAAGAGACCAGCACCGTATAACGTACGAAAACGGACATCTGTCATTGGAAATTGCAAAGACTGTGTTTGGTTGTTGATATCACTACACAAATATAGTTAGTGAGTCATCATTGGCGTTAAGCCACATTGGCCGATAGGCACAAGACAGGCAATAGAGATGGTAAAAATATTATTTGAGATGGTGGCACCATCTTGAGGGGATGAGGCTCCTCCCGATCCACGAAAAACCAACCAACCACTGAAGCATGGAACAGGCGGCTATAGTCTCAGGATCTTCTTCAGGATGGTGTTCTTTTTACTCCTGAGTCTCCATCGATTTCGCTCTCTCCCTCTTGCTTCTTTCTATTTGGTTCTTTATATAAGGGTGCAGTAATTCGGGAGATCAAGGCGCAGAGCATGTTACGGACAGGGTGAGGCTCGCGGGTCACAGGACACGGATGGAAAAGGCATCCGAGCAAGAGTAGCAGAGACGGCTCTCCCAATTCGAACAGGCCAAAGGGAACGAAGCAGATCAGGCATCTCTAGGCAGTAGCTCACGGTGAAAGGGCCAAGACGACGCATTCGGCGCGCACGACATGTGGGGTCGACGGTGCGGGCGTCGAAAGCAGCGGTGCGGAAGTGTCTGCTGCCCAATTCCGCTAGCTATAGTACTTCGTCAAGAGGAACCTGGGCTATCTGGGGCTAGAGGCTGGGGACCCATGGAGACATTGGCAGGAAACAAGCTTCCTGTCGTCGCCTTCAGTGTGAGCTCGTGAGGCCAAAGGGGAGCAACCAAACGCAAACCGATTAACGTTAGTAGTAAAGAATACCGCTACAGACAGCGGGCTGCCTCAAGGTCGATATGGACCGAGAAACTGTAACAGTGCACATACGACAGAACGGGATCAGGATAATAGGTTAAACTTTTGCAGCATACTGATACATACTGCTTTGAATGTTAAACATGCGTACTCCAGAGAAGCTGCGTATATATAGTGTAGAAAAATAAATCAGGTCCAATTATGTAAGTATCGACAAGGAAGGTGCAAATTTGGTGTTTATTTAGACGTGAAGTGGTACTTTTAGTATTCACCATGTATAAGATGAATCCACTCGTCTTTATGTTCAATTCATGCATTTGCACAATATTACTGGAAATGTTCCGGCCTTTCCGAAGAAAGTAGACTTTCATATTAATCTATCAGCAAGAAAGTAGAGTGACTGCGAAGATAAATCAGGTAGTCTATTAATATAACGTATTATAGTTAAATGAATATATAATAAAATCTAAGAACAATTTATAACTGTTTATCACGCTGTTGAGGAAAACCAGGAACGGTTTGTGGCTGCATGATATGCGCTGAATAATGCTTTCCATATAAAGCGAGAACTATCTTTCAGGTTGTAATAGCTACGATTTATGTCTTTTAGGTCACAAATCGACGGATCATACGTCCAATATCTTTCCAGCTCAGAATTTCTCATTGCCCCCGTTTGCTAAAACGCTAGAGTCATGGTGTCTATTATGACTTTGTACCCATCTTTCAGTCTACAGTAGACTTTTGCCTTCGGAAGGTTAAAGCGTTATCTCCGTACCTCAATGGATAACAGCGTCTCACACAATTGCTACTCAAATCTATTTTAGACGACGCATGTGCACTAAAGATGCGCAGGCCTTATGAGGTCGAGGTCACGTGCCAGCTTTACTGTTGGGTGTCCTTGAATGGGTAACACTTTATTAGAATGCGCAAGATCGAATCCTCAGGACAAAAATGGCGAACGCTGTTTATTATGAGAGCTGCGTTAGTCTCTAAATTATAGTGTGGCGTACCAGCCTATTTCATTACTTCCATATGTCTTTCGAGAAATTGATTAGTGAGAATGAGCGTCGTCCTTGACAAAGTACAAATAATGGGGTTAGCATACTTAACAGTCCTATCGCCTAACTGTAGTAAATGCGATGCCGCGAGTGAGCCTTCTTTGGAACTTCATCGCCTCAGCCTTTAACAGATTGTTTCACGTCAGTTTTTCAATGACGACGTTAAAAGTAGCCAAAAGAAGTTAGAGACAGCGGCGATAGTTGGTAAAGATTCGGCAAACTTTTATTTGAGCAGTTCTTTCTTTAACCTCGTTTGACAAATCACTAACAGTGATATAGGTTGTTACTCTGGGCCATTCTACTGGATTAGCTGGAAAACATGAGAACTACAGCAATCTTATGATTAGTTTTTCTGGAGTACGTTTCAGAGAAGGTTGACTTCGCTTGATAGCACTGCCTCTATTCTTGACTTGAAAAGTGCAGAATCTAATCCGAGTCGAAAACGGTGCAGAAACACTAATGAAATACTTCGGCGAACAGTACGCAGATAAAACAAGCTCTGAACATAGAGTGATTTCCGATATTAAAAAAAAAAAAAAACAAACGTACTGTTCATTTGAAACAGAGCCAACAATCACTGTGGCAGTCGACGTCAAGAAGGCTAAGACAAAATCTTGTGATCATAAGTCTTCTTAGTGATATAGTATTAACTTTTGGCGATTGCATTTACTTCTCAGTATTACGCAAGAAACTCTGCCGTTCACTGGAACACTGCTGGTGAGCATCGAATAGGATCATGTGGTAGGATGAACTTCATATTGGTATCTGGTCCTGCTTAAATTGTGAATTTGGTGGAGATTTTCTAGAATTCTCTTATCTTATCTAGAATTCTCTTATCTCGTACATTTCAAAGAGACCGTCGAATGTATTATGCATTATAAGCGAAAATTAATTTAGTCGTGCGTAGGACATACATTGATGCTAAATTTTACTTAGCCCAGTTAGCGTGTCCTAAAAATGTGGGTGAGCGTATATACCAACCTCTTGTAATACCTTTTCCACTTGAATCTCGGAATGAATTGTCGTGACTCGATTACTATCTGGGGGGGGGGGGGGGGGGAGGGGGGAAGTGTCGACCACCAAGACATCAGCGACCTTATGGCTAGACATCCGTGGCTTACAAGCATTGAACAGCGAACTACAGCTAGGCCGTTTCAGTTGTATCCTAAAAGCAGTTAAGGTTTCCGTAAATGCTGTCGAGTAAATTTCTGCGCAAACGTCGCCAGGAATCGGGAAGAGTTTTGCTGAACATGAATGGGGTTGAGGATCGCCCAGCCGTTCGGCAAGCCATAGTCTGCGAACATCTACAGTCCTTATTTTGAGTTTTAGCCCAATAAAAATCTCTCATTCATATCCGTTTCCAATTCACGATTTATTCTGGAATTCTAAACTTTTTTTTTTTCAATTTGCCAATAGGTTAGTAATAGAAAGAGCAATGACCGGCTTATTCCCGACTGTCAATATCTGCTGGAGATATATGGCAGGCTATAAAGTTGAGATGCATTGTCCTAAATATTACTAAATCTTCTTCGCATAACTGTATGCACTTTTCGAATATTCTATCTCGTAAGTCACTGCTGGGGCATCGTGGTCTTGCTTATTCGCTAGGCCAACAAGTAGCGATAAAACCCAGCAACTGTTCACGTATTTGTAATGTAACACATTTGTTAAATTAAAAAGAACAATAATTAAAATTGATCTCGTCAAGGAACTAACGGTTAAGGTGTGCTAGTAAAGAAGTGCCTTTGTAATTCTACTGCATAATACCTAGTAGTGTTTGCGTGACGTCTTTCCATTGTCCTTTTTTCTTCAGCGCAGTTGTTACTTCTTCTGCCTGTATTCTGGAACGTACGTTTTGAAGTGTGTAGAGTTCTGTTCCGCTTGACCATGAAAAGATAGTCTCGAAATCAGTTTTTGCCTGCAATAGTTTACAGTACGATATAATGGAACTTTTTTTTATATCATACATACGCCGTGCGAGATTCTCATACATATCATTAATTCTCTGTTTCTAAGCGCGGCAGTTTGGTATTCCCCTTTTAACAGAATCTTGTATTCGTTGCTTAATAGTTATGCTTAAGTGACAGCTCTACTCTATTTTGATCGGTCAAGCGTTCCTTATTAAAAAAGTTCTTCATCCTTAGCGTGTGCGTAGCCCCATAGTAGGAGGCAAATTTTTTCTTGTAAATTGTCAGTAGGGAAGAAGTATGGCAAAAACTTGACTTATTTTTAGCACGAACAACTTATAACCTATTATTCCTGATGACCTTTGTTTGAAATGTGAGGTCCTTTCCCTTAACTAGCAGAGCTGTTACTGAGTGTTTGTATTCGAATTTTGTTACTTCACCGTGACTGTTCTTTCTGTTTTTTTTTGAATGTCGATATATTGTATACTTTAGGCAATTTCGGGCGAAACAATCGCACCGTCACAGTAACCGTCTTCGTTCGCTGACTCCAAGTACATACACCTGTTTCCATATTTTATCTTTTTCTTTTCGATCTTTCATTTCGTTTCCCTTCGTGTCGCCAATGATAATCTAGGTAACGTTGCTTCACCATTGTGGCTCCAAAAAAGAGGTGGAACGGACATTTTTCACCTGTCACTTCTACAGGCTAACCTCGCTCGACCTGCATGTACACGCTTGGTATGGACTTGACGTCCCGGTGCCGTAGCGGCCGGGCTGCTGTTTTAAGACTCTTTTGTTTGCTTTGTCGAGTCCGTTCAGTCCAGGACTTGCTTCGCGTCAACGTGACCCCTATTAACCTTCATATGAGTCACAGAGCTGTTGGCATTGTTTTCCTTCTCTTTATCATGAGCTTTTTTTCCCTTTCTGTTCTCGCGGGTTCTGTCGCTGGCTGTCGCCCTGCGGTTTCATGCGACACCGGTACAAGCGTTACTTTTTCGATGGGTCTGACTCCCGATGCTGCAGAGGTCGGGGATTTTTCAACTAACGAGTCCCATCGTTTTTCCCCACATAAGACGTAGCCTGCCCTTGGGGGGTTACTCGCAAGAAACACCCACACATCTATCAAACCTGCAGATCCAAGCACGATGAGTGAGGGTAATGTAAAGTTGCTCAACGTACCACAGAGACAGCAATTATGAAATATCTTGTAATAATATATGATAGATGATGACCTAAATATACAAAAACGAAATGATTTGAAAGTTGACAAACCTAATCATCAGGCGGATATGAATTTACGAACAAAGTACCCAGAGATGAAGTGACTATGAATTTGTTGGCTCAGTTGGCTAAAACTAAAACGAAGTAGAAGTTCAGTGGACAGATTTCCAAGTATGATAGAGCTTTTTTACCCACTAATGAAGGTTCATTGGATTAAAGCGATTAATGCTGCCTATCGGTATTTAACGGCCATGCGTAAATTAACAGTCTGTACGTGTTATATTGGATTACAAACACCCTAAACTAAACTGACTGTTAGCTACCTAAGGTGTGCGGTCGGGCCTATCGGGCTTCGAGTACGGGATCCCAGTTCAACATTTCTTCACAACTCTTTATTAGTTTATTGCAGCTTTTATGCTGCCCAATGCCTTACCGTGGTTTAAAGATATCCTTTCTTCAAGAACGATTATTTACTCCATCTCGCCTTTACACAAATACACATTCACACATTGTGTCGCCGCTTGACTATGGTCGAAGTGCAGGAGACGTGACATTACGTTCGCATATGATGTGTGAAAATATCACATAAAGGCAAGATTATTCTTCGCTTCTTTCTCGGCACCGGTAGCATTTAAAGAACATTGTTTGAAGAATATTTTGCCCACGGAAGAATGCCCACACGAAGCTAAATGTCGGACGTCATCGAGGACAATCTGCTATGATGTCATGATCAGCGGTAGACACAAATGCAGCCCGAATACGATCTTGCTTGCGATGGAGCGCGGCAGACTTAAATAATACTGATTAATCGTTTTAGCAATTATTGCTATACAATAGTGTAATACAAAATATAATAAAATGAATCTTATTCAAATAGAGCTCATAGACAGCTGTATGATGTACTATCACAAAATAATTGTTTACATGGTTCTGTACTGGCTGTGTACTTTGAGAATGATTACACTTAAAAGAATCATACTAACATCATTCGATGCTATACTAACATCTCCACTCGTTATAAGTGAAAGATATCAAGATACGCTTTACCATTTTCTTTCGATTCCTTGATATTGCTATACGTAGACTCTTTTTGACGTATACCCCCTACACGCAGTTGACAGATGCCAGACAGTAGGAGTCACGGGTGACCAGCATCTGGACAACAGCAGCATGGCCCGTCCGCATCTCTCTAATCCTCTTGCCTTGCAAAGACTTGTAAGATGGACAATACTGCTTCGGACCAAGGCGTTGACGGCGATTGGAAGCGACAGAAGCCAGGGTGAGGGCGGACAGACCGAGATCACGTTTCACACGTCGCTTTGCCCTTCATTTGCCCCCATTCTACTCGTAGAGGCCAGTGACGACAAGTTGAGTCTCGACGTTAGGGCAATGGACAGGGACAAAGTGTACAGCCAAGAAGCGTCGGCTGCAGAAGATGAGCAGGGGACAGCTGGCTCGGAGATGGCATAAAAATCGGCCGATCTCATACTAGCTCCGCAGTGCTTATAAGCATTACCAACATAACATCATGTCAATCATCATCATTGTCATAATCATCATGTGCGAAAGACGACTTGAACGAGTCGAGCGATGTGGGATGGGTATCTTTGGGATGGGGGGCAAAAGTAAGCGAAGAACTGTGATATGATATGTGCGTGTCTAAGATGTCTCTTACCCGTCGTTGGTTCTGTTTAGGGATATCAACGGCTTTGACGGTTCTGGTGGTGCTGGTGATGGCTGGTGGTGGTAAGCTGTGATTGAGAGTGGGTGGGTTCCAAGGGCAAAACTTCCTGTCACAAGCAGCGTAATGGTGACGGTAAGACGTAGAAGCTTCCTTCGTCTTGGCCATTGGCTATTGTAGAATGTGTGCACCCGGGAGAACTGGCGTTGCTACCGTTAGATGAGATGTGCCTGTGAGGAGAGGACGGAAGAAGCGATGGGGGCATTCTTATCATCGCGCAGCTATCGGATGAAGGACTCAATGCTAGCGGCGCAACCGTTATTGTGTAACTGTCTATCTTCCATAGCCTGGTCCGGCTCGCATTGCCTTAGTAGCCGTTGGTGTCGGTGATCCTACGGATGCATCGGCATTGTTATCAATATTCAATTTGGCCGGCCGCGCCTTCTTTACAGTGGAGGCGAAGGCACGCGAGCGAAGACTGGGGAGAAAGGAATTCGTAGGGATTCGTATTCGAAAATTTAGTGAGAAAGAAAGAACTGCGGTCTAAGCGCGCAAGTTCCACTCTATATCCGTCTTCGTTCATAATTTTCTCTCTTTCTACTAAATGTGCTCTATCTGTCGTGGTCATCAAATAGACGCACTTTAGAAATCAAGAAAAACAGTAAGAGTGAGAGGGAGGAACAGCAAGGATGAGCGTATGGTCTGTACAGCAGCAACAGAAGCAGGACCCCAGGTACGAATAGTAGTCGCATGACCATGGCTTGCGGTGGACTTGAATGTATTTGCCTATGCGCGAGGGGTGATGGCGATGGTTTTAGAAGGCTATCGTTTCTATCGATGGGCGAACAGGAACCGGGTTCCCTTTCAGCCCTATTTGAGTCTTTATCTTCCCCATCCTGTTATGAGTCCCATAACCGGCCTCATGACTGTTATAGTATGGTGATGAGGTGTTCGCCAGTCGGCGCCACCAGTATCGGCGTGGAGTGCGCGGATTGTGGAGCGCATGCGCTAAACGAGGCCTTCTCGGCGAAGGGAGCTCTCCCGCGCTCGCCATGTTGTGGTGCCGGCGGTGCATTCTTGCGCGTCCCTCGAACCGAGCCGACACTGCGCTCGCACGAGCCACACGAGTCGCTCGCCATCGCTATACACACACAAACACACAGATCAGTATAATTATTGTATACAATAGTATTCCAATAATAATGCTACTATTCTAATATCACTTCAAGTACACAATAGCATTAAAGATATCTAACTCTTCGAAGTGTATACATAACACGGTATTGTACACCAGGCCAACGACATACGAAGAAACAACAGTGAATGACAACCATCCGACGACTCCGAAAGAATCAACCAACCAGCTGATAGGACCACAGCCTAAGTCTGAAATGGACATCGAAGACTGCTCGCTAAATGCAGCGAGCAATCGTTCCCGTTTTCGCTAAAGTCGATGCGATGTGTGAAGGGAGCAATATTGTGAACAGTGTGTGCTACTGGCTGAAAAGCGAAAACGACGGAAGTTAACCTTCTGGCAAAGGGAACGTACTATGTATTCAGTGATACGGCAACAGTAGCAGCATCAATAGTAATAGCCATAGAGGAAACGAAACGAGGACGCACTTCTAGCCTAAGCAAAGGAACGAAACTGGATTTATCCTATTATAGTATACAAATCGAAGAAGTGTGCCAGGTGTGCGTGCAACTGGTTTCGGATTGTTCACGGGAGATTTTCATTTGGATTCATCTCTGTTAGATAATAATATATATAGAGATAGTAGTAAAAATAGCGCAGTGAACAGTAGTCTAGTGCGTTTGTGTGTGATCGTCGGCTTGTCCACTTGTCGTTCGACATCTGCCGCTGTGTGTCAGTATTGCTGCAGTTGCCACCTGACAAAACTGGAGTGTGGTGCATCATCGCTGGAAGGAGTACAGGACGTAGGATCGTTAAAAGGTGCGTGCTAGAAAATTGAGCCAGTCCAATCGTTTATGGTAATATGTCCGAAGGTCCCTGAAAATGACCTCGTCTAATGGAATAACAGCAGAACACACAATGTTGTCGTAACGTTACATTACCATATAATGTCATGCAATATTCTATGCGTGGATAACACATAAGACCGACACATATCAACATGTAGTCGACCTGTCGAGATCCATCCTGTGATGGGGCAGTGAACGTTCCGAGTAGTTTGCCTGTGGCTTCGTATTTATGTGTCGAGTACGCTAATAACCGCGCGCCTCTGCTGTCTAATATGTACGTATTTGCAGCACTCGACACAAGCAGTGTGTATACTTCGAGCCAATTTCTACTGCGCGCAAAATAGAAGGAGAAAATACGCGAAATTACGCCAATCGATCAGCGGAACACGTATAAACAAGGCTCCCCTAAAGAGCGTCTGCTCTACATCAACCCCAGTTTCAGTCTCGGTTTGTGTTTCTCCGCCCCGTGTCTTTGCGACGCTTGACATGCACATACACATATACACAGACAGATAAATGCACGTACGCTTGCACCAACACGTCATGTATGGTGTCACTGTTGGTCAAGAACAAAAGCAGTTGTGACCCATATCCACCGTCTCAACCTTAGGCTTCGTCGCGTGCTGGTCCTGTTGTAGTTCTGTTGGTGTCACTAAGTGACTGGAATTCCTGGAATCGTCAAAGAATGCGTGTTGTCCAACTTAGCAGCAGTGAATTATGGGTTACTGAAGCGAGCTAGTCACGAAAGTCAAAAGAAAAAAGGACACACATGATATTTAGGCGTACGGGAAACGTCCTTCTTTACAGCACAACGGAATAGAATGCCTGTTATATCTACTAGAAAAAATTTAACAGTTAGGTTAGGTTAGGCGGCATGTTAGCGTACGCGCGAAGAAGCGAGTAGTAGAACGCTAGTTGGGGGCAAGTATATTCAAAGCATTGCCTCGAACGACCCGTTAACGGTCACCTACCCCTATTTAGCGAAAAACGAGTTGTTTCCCTCTGCTTGAGTCTGCTTTTGAACTCGAATGTTTTTGTCAGCAGCATTCGTCATTATTAGGTAAATGCGACTAACAGGCTGGTCCTTCTTTGCTGGTAAAGTGATCATATCACTGAAGAGGAGGAGCTCTCATTATTGGCCGGCTTGCAATACTACTTCATAGCAGCTGTCTGGTCTGTTTCTGCTTTACGTATTCCTGTGGCGCGCCCGTACAGACGGAATAAATCCATTGTTCTAGGACAAACAGGCTTCTGTGTCGATTGTTCAGAGTCGTAACGTCTGCTTGGTCGGAATGATTCTGGTGTGCTGAAGGCAAATGCTGTGCAACATATAGCAGAACTCTGTTTTTAGAAGCGCGCTTCACATTCAACCAGTGTATGTTCGTCGTCAAAACGGTGGTCGCTGTTGTATAACTTAAAATAGCGACGTCCGCAAAGGTTGCTTTTTACAACGCACGTTTGTTATTAGAATCATTTTATCGGAATAGTGGTATCGAGAATGTCTCGAGCGCGTTTCATCAGCTGTTCATTCCGTCACACAAAGAGCTCGATGGCTGTGCACAGAACCCCTCAACGAGCTTTACGTTCGTCCATAGCCAGCTTTAAGGAATACGGAGAGCATTCAGTTTATGATTAGTTTACGTTGTGATGCATTTGTTTACGCATCAGTCAAAATACTTTCAGATTATCAGCTAAAGGTTCGCTGCAATTTTACATTGTTGACTAGTATGTTCTCAACACAAGTACTGCAAGTATATATTTAATTACACGTCTATAATAGACAGATTTCTCGGATAAACGACTGAAGTTGCGTAGGTCCTCGCGCATCAGCTATGAGCAGCCCCAGCGGATAAAACTACTCTGGTGTTAACATTTGCACATAATGTTTATTTTCCCTCGTGCGTTACCGACAAAAGCTGTCGGCCTACAAACTGCGTTTACGATCGCTTACTTACCCGTTCGTGTAAGCAGGATTTCAAGCAATCACGGCCGTTATATGGTATTTTCGTGTGATCCTTTAGCGGTCAATACTTGCATGAAATATATTCCATGTGTGACGTACGTTCGGTCGGTCGGTCGCTTACTCGCTAGCTCGTGCCTGTAAGCGCGTTTGTACCTGCAAACCGGCGAGGTTTTGCATCGCCTGTTCGTTCTTTGAGCTGGCTTCGGCCGCCATTAGCACCGTGTTCCCATCCGCAATAAATATGGCTATTTATATAATAATACAGATACATACGAAAATATAGCCATGTATGTATGAATGCGGACACGTAGTACTTAGTGATGCAAGCCGTACGTAAGAAACGTGCTGATAGGGCATGATGACTGGGGGACGACGACGACGACGATATTGGTACGTGGATAACATCGGTGCATAGACCTCTTCGATGGGTCTGACTGTTGTTGCTTTGTCTCGGCTGGCGGAACTGACTAACAGATAGACATTAGGCTATCACGGCTAATCTAGAATTATCTCTCGTAGGCTACGAGAAATAGGTGAACTATTATTGCTGATACGATGGTGCTAGTTAGAGTGCCAAGCCGCGCTTTGACGCAGTAGAGCCTGCCAGTATCGGTGGCGGTCTGCTGAAGCGATGGCAAGCTTAGTGGTGAGGTTGTATTAGGCTGCATCATCTTTTGTTTGTAGGACGATGGTACCTGCGGTTGTGTGAGTAGCCATTACCGTTATTGGAACGTTATTCCTCATAAAGATGGCATGCTGAAATAAGCTGTAGAGAAATGACTGGCAGGTGGTAGAAGGAGGAGCTTACGAGATTGGGTGCGATGCCCGTACGATGTCAATAGTAATTGACACTAGTTATACGAGGTAAGGCGACTTTGCTTACTGTATCAATGCTATCGTTCCGCTATTCGATTGGTACGTTCGTCAATCAAAGGGTATGAAGTTCCCTGTTAGAAGTGCCGACGAAATATGGATTGCAATCAAGCAGGGAAAGACTTTTATCGTGTGACATATAGTAAACGTTATCTATAGCAATGAAGTATGTGCGTGGTAAAGAGGCTAAAGTTAGAATACTCGTGGCTTATATCAGGACTCTGAAGCTAGACCGGTCGACAAGGGGGTGACCATACAGACGTTGTGCATGACCCTGTTTAGTACTGGTCCATGTCAGGACACTAGTGAATAATACATGCTTTTCCATCATAGTGCACGCTAATTTCATTCGCCGATGGAGAAACGAATTGTTTATTTTAGCTTACTCAATATTCTCGAACTGACGTTGACACCCCCGCGACGATCATACGTATTTAGAAACATCGAATGTTACTTACTAAATCTTGACAAATACTCTCATAACTACTGCTCCATGGGTAATAAAAGAGTCTGTCAATCAAAGAAAGATTATAGATAGGAAATACAGTCTTTTCGTGATAAACTAATTTGTGTTGCTATTGAATGATTACCTGCTTCAAGCACATGTTAGAATCCTAGATTTATGAGCATGCGTTACATATGAAAAAGGATAGCCGATATATATGGGTTTTGTCTGGACATTAATCTATCATAATTGAAATCGTCAAGTAAATCCTTTAGGTGGCATCAGTATGATGAGCTATTCACATATGTTAGGGTTTGTTTTCACTTAGTTTATAGAGAATTTGGCAAAATTAGCTCAATATGAATGAGAAGATCGAATACTCAGATCCGCCGCTCGGAACTTCGCCTAATCGTATGTTTATTGAGAAAAAAAAAATGCTGGCTGAAGCAAGCACCCTTATTGGCCTCTTATTATTAGATTAATCTATATCGCTATGGCTCCCTGAACTGTCTATCCGAAAAATTGACTTCAGCCTAATCATACTGTACATCACAAGTGATGTAATAACGGCCATTGTCATTGGCTCGAAGTCTACGAATCGTAAATGGTCAGAGGCCGCCCATAAGAGGGGCCGGACACCTGGAGCGCTTCACGAAGAGAAAAGAATCGAACGATCAAACAGGGAAATTTGCTGGGCGAAATAGAAAAAGGGAAAAAAGGTTATTTGATAACGATTATATCCTAATCATGGCAATTCTATGAAGCGTAAATGTCAACAACGAAGAACATAACGGTGGATACGAATCGAATGCACGTGCGGCAGACGAGGATCTGACGCAGAGGAAGGCCTGTTCGCATACGCGAAACAGACAGAGCTGATCCTATAAACCGTACCAACACGCGCGATTTTTCACCTCATCAATACAACGGGGTGAAGGAAAGAAAAAACTGTTTTATTGAACCGGCTCGGTACGTGAAGAACAGACGACGACGATAAGGTAAGAGAGGGATGAACGATGGTATCCCGCTTCTCCGTTGTCGTTGGAAGACCTGCTTCTCCGTTGTCGCCGAACAGATCCCACCTTTCGCGTCGCATTTATCGAACATCAACAATTGCATATCACCTACTGCCTCATAACTTTTCCCATGGACGCAAAATCGTTCTCAGTCTTTATTCTTACGCCACACCATTATACACTGTCTGGTCTACCTAGATCTTATATTATTGCACTACAGTTGTCCAGCTGTCGGGATATAGCTACCATGGTTGAAGTATTCGCTGTTAAAGAAGTGATCGCCAGTAGCTAGCCAGAAATAGCTGACGGCCTATGAGAACGACGAAATCGGAACCGTTGGAAGCAGACAACGAGAGTCGTCTGGTTCCATTGCCGGACACACGCCCTGCGTAGATACCAAAGGCCTCCTAACTAATTTCCAGTGGTTGATGGCCGCCCCCTGCTGCATAGCATTACCATCAGCAACTCATCTGGGATACGTCAGCTCTAGCCTTGCATCCCTATTACCATTCCGCATAGTTTGCTTTTTCCAAATGCCCCGTCATTAGCAACGGACAATAGAAGCGAAGAACAGTGGAAGAAAAAGTGTAATGCCAACTAGTCAAAATCATTATTCGGGGGGGGGGGGGGGAAATAAAAAATGACTTCCGATGAGCGACGCTTGGTAGGACGAG